CTTCCTCCTCCTTCCCCCCCCCCCCCCCCCCCCCACTGAGCGATGTAAGTTTTGCCAGCATAAATGGTAGTGTGCACAGCGCTATGTCGGCAGGAGAGCTTTTCCGGCCGACATAGCTACTGGTGCTCATTGCGGATAGTTTAACTATGTCGCTGGGAGAGCTCTCTCCAGTTGGCATAGAGCAACTACATGAGAAATCTTACAGCGGCACAGCTGCATCAGTACAGCTGTGCCACTGCAAGGTCTCTAGTGTAGACATAGCCTTAGTAATCTGAGACTCATTAAATTTAATATGTGACTGCTCCATGACTCTTAGATATTTTTTTTTTAAGATAAATCTTTGGCCTTAGCATAATCTGGCTCTGACTATCTTGATGAAGAGACAGTAAAATGGGCAAAACTGGTCTTGTTACAGAATTTTCCCCACAGTAATTTCTTCCTGCTAAACAGGCAAGGATTAGAATGCAATATGTGTAGCTTTAAGTATTGGTGCTTCTTGGCTTAAGTGGAGAAAACATTAGGAGTCAAAATCTTGTAACTTCGAAATTGAACAGCTAACTTGTTCAAGGCTAAACATAGTTGCTTAGTCTCATTGAAGTGATCAAAAAGTCAATGGTGGCTATTACTGCAGCTATTGCAGTTGATAGTTGACACGTTTGGGTCAAATGGCTAATGCTAAACTCGTATGTATTTATATTAAACTAATGGCAAATTCACTGTCTGCACTGGTTATTTCTGGCTTCCCTGGTAAACTCAAACATTTGGAAACTGTTGCCAGTTTCCTTACAGAATGAATTCCTGAAGTTGGAAGATGCTGATACAGAAATTGACAGTATTATCTTTAAGTTAAAGTAGGAGCTTCGTTTCACAACTAGTAGGCTTATCCAATACCAATGCTTTCTCTTTTATTGCAGATGAAAAAGAGAGGTTTGACCCTACTCAGTTTCAGGACTGTATTATTCAAGGTCTAACTGAAACTGGCAGTGACTTGGAAGCAGTAGCAAAGTTTCTTGATGCTTCTGGAGCAAAACTTGACTATCGCCGCTATGCAGAGACACTCTTTGACATTCTGGTGGCTGGTGGAATGCTGGGTAAGTGTCTAGCTAAACTTTTAAATATGGCTGCTTTGCTAGACCACATCATTCTCTCACTTGGACTCAAATGCTTAAATGTAGGTTATTGATCTAATTTGTCACCCAGGTTTAAAAATGGATGCTATTTATTTGGATTGCCTCAAACCTTTGTGGTACATAAATTAATGCTCTGTCACAGCATAATCTCTGCTACATTGGATTGAGGGTGGCTGCTTGCACTGCAGCAGAAATGGCTCACTTTTTTTTAAATCTTTGAACACAGTGAGAATCACTGCTCTTGTAATGTCTTGTCTCTCGGTGGTTACCTGCTCAGGGATGGAGGAGCTCGTGACAGGTTCGGTCACAGAAACCCCCTTGGGATTGTCACCTGATGTGCTGAAGTTATCTCTGAACCCGTTTTCTACTGCCAGCTTGGGACTCCAGAACCCTGCCTTTTTGAGCCAGACACGCTAGTCTGCTGCAACACAGACCCAGGTCTGGTCCATGCCCCCAAAGCTGCAGACTTTAACCAAAACCTGCTCGGCAAGTCACCTATCTCCAACACCCATACACCCAGTTCCCAATGGGATCCAAACGTAAAATGGATGTATTTGACTCTGTATAAAGCTTATACAGGGTGAACTCCTAAATTGTCTACCCTCTACACACTGATAGAGAGATACATAGCTGTTTGCTCGCCCAGGTATTCATCACTTACTCTGGGTTTACTAATAAGTGATTTTATTAAGTATAAAAAGTAGGATTTAAGTGGCTTCAAGTAATAACAGACAGAACAAAGTAAGTTACCAAGCAAAATAAAACACAATATGCAAGTCTAAGCCCAATACATTTAAGAAACTGAATACAAGTATCAGAGTAACAGCCGTGTTAGTCTGTATCCGCAAAAAGAACAGGAGTTCTTGTGGCACCTTAGAGACTAACAAATTTATTAGCGCATAAGCTTTCGTGGACTACAGCCCACGAAGAAGTGGGCTGTAGTCCACGAAAG